GAACTCTCAGATTACTAGGAATTGAAGAGAACTTTTTCAGCCCAAAATGAAATACCTGTAAATAGTATTTTACTTGGTAAAAGACTGATGCTTCCCCACTAAGATCAAAAATAAGAAGTTGTCCTTTACACCCAAGTCTCTCAACTTGGCACCAGGAACTATAGTTCGTGCAATAAGGTAACAAAAGAAATAAAAAGTACATAGATTGGAAAGGAAAAAATAAAATTTTATCTATTCTTAGATGATACAATCATCTACTCAGAAAACTCCATAGAATCTACACAACTCTTAGTTGACTACATCAGGTTTCAGTACATGAAGTAAGTATACAAAAGTGTACTATGTTTCTATATACTAGCAATGAGCAATTAGAATTAAAACAACTAGAATCTTTAAGTTGGAAATTAAAGTGCTCACTTAACAGTACTTTTGAAATACATGAAAATGAAATACTTAGACATAAATTTAAAAATATATGGAGAATCTTTAGGTTGGAAACTATCAAACATTGGTTAAAAAAGCTTAAATAAATGCAGAGATTGAAGTCTCAGTATTGTCCAGATAACAGTTTTCTGCAGTTTGATCTATAGATTTAGTGATTGCAACAAAATGTAGCTATTTTTTGCAGAGATCTCAAAACTGATTCTGAAATTTATATTTAGATGCAAAGAAGCTGTAATAGCCAAAGGAATCATGGAAAAGACAAAATTGGAAGTTTCATGCTACTAGTTTTAAGCTATATATGACATTAATGAAAGGGCAGACATATAGACCAATGGAACAGAATAGAGAGGCCAAAAGTAGACCCACACAAGAATAGTCAACTCATTTTATTTGTTTTATAAAGGTGTAAAGGCAACTACATAAAGAAAGAGTAGCATTATTAATACATAGTATTGGAATAATTGGATGTTCACATGTAAGAAAATAAACCTTCATATATATCTTATATCAAATTGAAAAACTAACTCAAAATGGGACATAGACAAATATAAAATAAAAGCTCTATAAAACTTCTAGGAAGAAATCTGAGTTACTTTGATCTGACTATATGGTTTTAGATATAGTATCAAAAGTGTGATATAAGAAAAAATTGGCAAATCGTACTTTATCAAAAATCAAAAGACACGCCACTGAATGGGAGAAAATGTTTGCAAACTGTACATCTGATAACAGATCTTGTGCCCCAAATAAAGAACTCTCAAAACTCAAGAGTAAGAAAACAACCAATAAATTAAAAAATGGACAAAATATCTGAATAAGTACTTCATCAAAGATGATGTGCAGATGGCAAATAAACATATGAAAAGATGTTCAATATCACTAGTTATTAGGAAAATGCAAATTAAAACCACAATGAGACAGCACTCTGTGCCTATTAATAGATTGGCTAATAAGTGAAAAAAAAATTAAACATATAAATGCTAGTGAGAATGTGCAGGAGCTGCTGAGACTCTGATTGTTGCTGGGGAAATACAAAATGATAAAGTCACCCTGAAAGTTTGTTGGCTTCTTATAAAACTAAGCACACACATACTTTAAGACCTAGCTATCTCCTAAATATTTTACCCAAGTGAATATTTTAGAACTTTGTTCATATAAAAATCTGTTTGTGTATGATTATATCCATTTTTTCTTTAATCCACAAATACCCCAAACTGGAAACATCTCATCAATAGGTGAGCATAAAAGTAGTTTGGGTAGGTCCATGCAGTGGAATACTGCTCAGCAAGGAAAAGCAATATGCTTCTGATACATGCAGTTGTGTGGATGGGTCTCATGGCATGATGTTTAGCCTAACCCCAAAGTCTGTGTATCACATGATTCCATATGTATGACATTCTGGACAAGGCTAACTATAGAGATGGAAATAGGTCAGTTTTTTCCATGGGTTGGAACAACTTGAAGTATTTTGTGGTGTCAAATACAGGGGAATTTGGGGGACAGTGGAACTGTTCTCTGTGAGATCTGTTGGTGGAACACAGCTCTGCATTTGTCAAATCCATAGAATTGTACACCCCAGAGTTACTTTTACTACATGCAAATTAAAATAAATCAAAATCAAACAGGAGGCAGAGATAGAATTTCAAACTTTGACAGCAGATCTAATTGTATTACAAATGAGTAACACAACCACACTTTAGGAGATGGGGAAGAACTAGTATGTCAAGTGGATACTGCAAGTCTAGAATAATTCTAGACTTGCAAAAAGGCATATAAAAGCAATGCATCTGGTTGGTGCATTTTATTTTGCTTGAGGGGGTATGGGCTAGCAATTCTGAAGCTTCTTTGCATGCATATATTTTTTGCATACATATACACTTTGCATATAGATTAGGGCTGATCAAATAAGTAAACATATCATAGATAATGAGCCCAATTCTAAACTGATAGAGGTTGACCTGAAAGGGAAATGCTAGAATGAGCCCAGAGGTAATAGTATGGATGCATACTGGTAAATACATATGCATATGTATTTATACACATAGATGGATAATATAAGATAAAATATAACTGTGTACATGAGTTAATACACACTGTGTTTTTCCTTGCTCTCTATATAAGTGACATCCCAGTAGCAATGAACAACCTAGTACCCAGATTTGCTTTTTAAATACCATTCAGCAAAGGAAACAGGGCCTTGGGAAAGTCACTTGTTCTAGTATTGGATCAGTAAAAATGCAACATCAACCTGAATTGATTTTATGGTGTCAGAAACCAAGGAAATGCTTTTAAAAAGAAGGAATGGAAGAAAGAATAAAAGATGGGGTATGGGAAAAACATAAGAACTGACCTCAGATATCTCAATGGCCAAAGTGGAATAATTGGAGCTATAAAATAACTATAAAGCCAACCGTATATATGTAACTATAACAATGAAAACAACATTGGATTATAATCCAAAAAACACATTAAATACAACTCTGCATTTGTCAAAACCCATGGATTGAAAACAGAAGAGTAAGTTTTAACAAATTTAAAGAAAATCATACAAGAGCCATACTAATGCAAATGAGTAAATGGAAAAAAAGAGCAAAATCTTTTTTTTTAAGGTTTTATTTACTTATACATATAAGAACTGGGGTACAGGCCAGAGATGGGGGGGGGAATGAGAGGATTCACCAGAGACAGAGTGGGGAGTAGAATAGGCAAATCTACTGAAATACACTGCGGAGGGGAGCAGTGGGCAAGACGGCAGAGGTCTGCTGCGCCATGTGGGTCATCTCCCTGGCTGGAGATTGAACTAGTGCTGCAGTGTCTGTGGATAGCTTCACAGTGCTGCGCTTTAACCCACTGTGCCACCATGGAGGGCCCAAAAAAGAACAAGTCTTACAAACAAATTCAAATAAGTGTGGAAGGACTAAGGGAAAAAGAAAATCGCCACTACAACAGCCCAGTGGTAATTTCAGGCAAGATCCACCAAAGAATGCTGAAATGAGTGGGCAAAACTTTAGGCTCCAAATATCTCGCCCTCCCCCACCCCCAGATATTTAAAGAAAATACTGACTTCACATTGGAGGAACCCGCTGGCCACCACCTGGACTAAGTGATTGAGGTTAACATCATCAGTAACAAGATGCCTCCTGTTATGGTGTGTGGACAGTGCACATCAGTCCTATGCTGTGGATTCCAAAGTCTGTAAGCAGATATGATGATGAGAGAACATAAGAAACCCAAATTGAAGAACAGTTTGTACAAACACCTGTCCAGGACGCTTTAAAAGTGTCAACATGGTAAAAGACAAGGCAAGACTGCAGAGCTGTCCCAGATGGAAGGAGAATACAGAGACAGGACAAGTCTCTGCCTGTGGATCCTGGGAGGAAGATGACGGTGGGCAGCCATTGCTGTCTAGGCAAAGTCTGGTTTGCTGGTGGCTTGGTCCTGCTGCTGGTTACTGGTGTCAGTGACTGCACTGTAGGTCTATATAAGATGTTACTAGTAGGGGCAGCTGGGTGTGGGGTCCACAGTTACTATCTTTGCAACCCTGAAGTATACAGTTATTAAAAATAAAAAGGGTTTTTTTTTTTTTTTTTTAAAGCCAGATGACACTCAACAGAGTAAGAATGATAATGTGTTCTTCGGTAGAGAGGTTAGAAGCATTTGTTCCGATGCAGGAGCCGAAGGGGACCTGGTGTCCATAGAAGCCATGTTCCCATGTTAGGGCTGGGTGGACTGAGAGGTGGGAGACCGGGCCGTGAGCACAGTGGTGGCTGTAGGGCAAGACTAGTGCCCTGGATTCCTGGCTCCGCCGCTGCTACTTTTCCACCCACCCTCCACCGCCTCTCTGCTCTAGAGAAGGATTTTTTCTTTCTGCTGATGCTGTTTCTGTTTTGCGTGCTTTTTAAAAGTAGATTTCTTTTTAGAGATTTATTTATTTATGCATACAGAACTGGGGTACAGGCCAGAGGCTCAGGGGTGGTGAGAGGCCTCACCAGAGACAGAGTGGGGAGCAGAACAGGCAGATCGACGAAGTACACTGCTGAGGGGAGCAGCGGGCGGGTCAGGAGAGGTCTGCCGCGCCATGTGGTCTCCTCCGGGGCAGGCAGGGATCGAACTCATGCGGAAGTGGCTTTCGCTCCTTAGTGCTGTGCTTTAACCCGCTGCGCCACCAGGGAGGGCCCTAAAGTTGATTTTTTTTTTTTAATTAAAAAGTTTATTTTTACATCATTTTGCACATTTTTTTTTCATCTCAATTGTAATCCCCACGGGTTTCCCATCACCAAATCACCCCTGTGCCACCACCATAGTCCCGTGCATTTCCCTCCCTTCGCCCCCCGTTTTTGGTCCCATTCCCCACTCCACCCCCACAGAATGTCTCTGGTCTATGGTTGTTCATTATTTTTGTTATTTTCTCGCCTGGTCCATTATACCTAAAGTTGATTTTTAAGTCCTGGTTAGATAGCTTGCCGAGCCAAATATCCCCCGTGCTCCCTGTTACAGGCTCTGCTTGAGACATTTCTACCCTCCAGGTGACGGCTTATGTATTTATCTTTCAACAGAAACTAGAGACCAGCAAGAGACCTCCCTCCGGAACATCTACAACTTCCAAAAGCACCTCGCCCACCCTCACACCCTCCCCTTCACCCAAAGGGCACGCTGCCGAGTCCTCTGTGTCCTCCTCCTCCTCCCACCGGCAGTCTAAGAGCAGCGGGGGCTCCAGCAGTGGCACCGTCACAGACGAAGGTGAGGCCCCCAGGCCCTGAAACCCCATCTTGTGCTCCTCGCCCTGGTGACCGGCAGGTGCTGTAACTGTGGGAGCCTTTCTGGCGCAGGTTTTCCTGGCTGCAAACAAATAACACTCACCCCTCCCCGTCCCCGATTTGACTTGGTCTTTTTAGCTCTACTGTGCGTAAGGTATGGTGGACTTTTCCAAATAACTTGGGAATGTAGGTGACCCCTGTAGATATGCCAGGTACGGACCTTTTCCTGAACTTTGTAACTGTCTGAATTCTGCATTTGCAAGTGATGGAATCTCCACTCGGACAGACTGGTTTTAAAAATCACAGCACCGTTCATCTGTTCGCTCCTACAGTGGAAGTGTCTAGGGTGTGCTTTAGGCACGTCTGGATCCAAAGGCAGGGACCTCAGCAGCTTCGGGCTTTCTTTTCCTACCACCTTAGCTATGGTACCTTAGCCATGCGAGCAAAAGGTAGATCTGACAAAATGCCAGGGGTACTGCCAGAGGTCACTGGCCTGACTTTAGTCATCGGCCAGGCTTGCCCATCAGTGACTGTCTGTGTGCGCGAGGGTCGGAGGCCTGCTTGGGAGCCAGGGTCGGGGTCAGAGTCTGCCTGTTTGCTCTTGGAGCAGGAGAGAAGTGACCCCTGCTTGAAGGAAAGTTGAAGTGCTATTTCCGGAAGGAAAAGGGCACAGAAGCTGGACAAACAAAGGCAGTAGACGTGGGTTCCAGGGGAGCCTGCCAGCATGAGTTGCAGGCCCTGCCTGCCCGCAGGGATAGTGAGGAAAAGGAGGTGGGGTGGATGGCTGGGCAGGTGTGGGGACATCTCAGTGAAGCGCCAGGTGAAGATATGAAAGATACAGGAGATGAGGAGAAGAACCCCATCCTTTAAGACTGCCCACGTGGGCCCTCCTGCTGGCACAACAGGTTAGGACACAGCTCTGCAAGCCGGCCGCAGCCACTTCAGTGCGAGTTCGATCCCCTGCCTAGGAGGTGATCCACATGGCACGGCAGAGCTCTCCTGACCTGCCCGCTGCTCCCCTCAGCAGTGTACTTTGTCAGTCTGCCTGTTCTGCTCCC